CTGTAGGTTTGTGTCTACGAGTATAGGCAACCCTGTGTACAGCTCATTGAGTCTATTAGAGGAACAGTTGGGATGAGTGTAAAATAAATGAAACTCACAACCACACCTCGAAACACTGACACATGATATGCATCTTAAATCTGTTGGGAACAAATTTAGAACAAAAAATTTGGGGTGCCAGTAGCCTAGTGGTTAGTGCACATGCCCTATGTGGGGCTAAAGTCCTTGAGAGCCCAGGTTTGAATCCTACCTGCGGCTTCTTTCCTGCATGTGGTTCCCCATTCTTTCTGAATCTATCCACTGTCCTATCTCTAAAACAATTTATTAAAATAAAGGCATAAAATCTTTTTTTAAAAAAAGAACTTAAAGTCTGGGCCCATCATGTACACCACTCGCGTTAACCACATGCTTAGTCACATCCATCGGCACAATATGAAGACACAAGAAAGACTAAAGAATGGCACTCCAAGGTCTCCGATATACCAACAACACTGGGTTTATTACAAACTACCACCACTGCACATGGACAGTTTGGTTATGGAGGAACAGCCAAGAGTGGTGTCCTGAGACTTCCAGGACCAGACCATGAAGGCCTCTGAAATTCAAGTTTTAGTGTTTAGTGATGGTGTCGAGAAGACAACAGCAAAATGCTGCTCCTCTTTTATCAACAGGGTAAAGACCTTGAATTGGAAAGACGCATGGATTGGAAAAACAGAGGAGCCAAATGGAAATCTGTCTCGAAAATACGTTCTCAGCTCGCTCTGTTATTTTATTGCATAATGACACACCCCAATGTCCGCAGGATATGTTTACTTGACCAAAATACACTGTGTGTCAGCTGTTAGAGACGAAAACTGAGCTGAGAATATCAAACTCTAAAGCTAATATTTAGCTGTGTCAGCTGGATAATCTTTCAACATCTGCTGCTCAGGTCAAACTGGGATTTAACAATATCTAAATTCACAATATACAAAACTCTACTAGATTTGGTTGATTTCTTTAAGACCGAATCATACAAAATGAAGAGTTACCAAATAGCATCTTTAAAAGGCCTGATGAATCAGCAGTTCATAATCTGTTGTTCATTAGTTGTTCTCGATCTGCACTTTGTATAAGCTGTTTGCGGTGTGTTTTCTCAGAGAAGCAGATTCAAAACATGTTGTAGGAATAAAGACTACTGTTATAGTCTTACTTACTGTCATTTTGTGAATGGAATAAAGAATCCAAAGCTGACACTAATGATCAATGAATCAATGAATCAATGCACTCTAACAACAGGTGAATTTCTAATTTTAAGGTGGAAAAGTTACATAATGTTGTTGCTTTAAGTGAAGTTTGTGAAAAACAACGTTTTCCAGCATTATTGGGACATTTACTGAGTCCTTTTTGTTTTAATTAAACTCAATAATTGCGAGCCGTTACTCTGCAGGAGAAACCAGTTGGCTTCATGAGATGGGGCTGGGCCAGAGTAGCATTAGCGAATGCTCAATAATAATCCATGCAAATTTGTTTGAATGTGTTTTGAATCATGCAGCAACATGTCCTCAAATATACACGTTAGGTCTTAAAATCCAAGTGAACCCTAAGTCACAAACGATCTGATGTTGCACCAGAAATGTTGAATCAGAACTTCAACCCATCTGTAAAATGATGATGTTATCCGGGCACTTCTATCTATGTGTATTGTAGGCATAATTAAACAGTGTCTTTTGGGTGCATACCTCTATAGACTGCTAATCACTGATGTCTTGTGACTTCCTTGACAGCAAAACTCCCACCAACAACAAGAAGGGATCAGATGGACAGGCACTCCTGGGCTAAAGTGGATGGCATGTAGTTAGTATGCATCAGAGAAATCCTGGTCCAAAACGAGACATACCTAGCCAACTGTTCTTCCAACTTGGCAGAAGTCAGCCTCAAGCATCCAGAAGTCGAAATAAAATGAATCCAGACACAGTTCTTGGAGAGGGGAGGTAGATTTTAGATTTGCTCTGTGTTCCTGCATGGGATGCTACCAAGATATTTAGATGGGTGAATAAGTGCCCTTTGTGCTTTAGCAAGTTGAATAACACAAATGATAAAGGCACAGCCCTAGCACCAGTTATGAGAGGCCAGATTTCATTTTGCATTATGTTTGAACACAGATAAATACTGTAAGACAAAATAAAGAAAGAGCGGCAAAATGTGTAAAGTTGAAAGACAAATCACATCAAAGAAACAATATTTTACTTGAATTAAAAACTGCTGTGTCCTACACCAAAAGACCAGAATGCTCCTTCTGGTCGCTACATGTTAAAAAAGTTTTTATATTTTAGACATAAAGCCAAGCTCCTTTTGTGTCGTCCCAGGCTTCAAAACATATCCTACTAAGCCATGTCACGTGGGACCCAAATCAAAAGCACAGGGTCGACCTCCTGGGCCCTGATCTGTGGCTGAAGGAGCGAGGCCCTAGAGGACTCGTGAGGGGAGGGGGGGGTCGACATGGGGCTGAGACTGGAGATGTGTGGCTCAGTTCCAGTGCTGGTACAGAGCTGCATGTCCAGACCTGCTGCCTCACATAACCAGACAGACAGGCTCAGCTTTATCATCTCTCTGTCACCAAGCTCAGTTGCTGTTCTGCAATCGAAATACATCTGAGACCACTGCCAGCGCTGCCACTCATCAGTCAGCCAGCTCCTCAATCATCCAGACACACACACACACACACATAAGTGTACACATTCAAGCACCTCAACACACAAAAAGATAGGTAGTGACTGTCATCATGCTATCAGACCGATTATAAAAGTCCTTCAGACACAGTGACATTGGAAAACCTTGAACTTTGACTGTTTCTAGATTTTGATAAACTAATGAATACAGAACAAAAAAAAAGACAACATGTTACCAGATGCACAAAGCGAAGAGTTTGGCTGGATGTATAACTTAATAACTGTCTCCAGTCACTTGGGTCCAAGCCAATCACAAACAACAAGTCAACCCACTTTTCATGTAACCTGAATCACTGACTGCTTAAAGCCCTCTTACACCACAGGTCACTATACCCATTCACGCACTGATGGCAGAGGTTTCTGTTTCCATCAGACTTAACTAATCCCATTCATACACACTTACACTCCACAGACGAAGCAGCGGGAGAAACTTGGGGTTCAGTGTCTTGCCCAAGAACACATCACATGTGGGGATCGAACCCCAAAACCATCTGGTTGAGAGACAACCAACACTACCAACTGAGCCACAGCCGCCTGTGTACAACCCATTTTCCTCGCTCTTTTTTTACCCAGTTAAATTACTTACCTGTTGCCAGTGAAACGTATTAACTGTGAGATGTTTAATCAGATGTTTTAAATAATTTTATAACTGTTCCAGTCTTTTGTTGCCACTGCCAACGTTTATTTTGGGGCTTTTGGGCCTTTATTGTAGAGATAGGACAGTAGATAGAGACAGAAATCAGGGGCAGAGAGTGGAAAATGACATGCGGGAAGTTAGCCACAGGTCAGCTTTTTCAAATTGAATATAGGGTTTTAATGTTTTGCAAACCATAACATTCATTTTGTATATTTCATTTGATAAACTTTAAGGGTTGTATAATGTTATTGTGTTTGTAAAAAATTGGACCCGACTAACATTATGAAAGGCATGATCTAAAGCGCCTGTTGCATGAAGGTTTAAGCGTGTCCAAATATAGCTTAATTAAAAAAAATCTGGGAGCAAATTAAGGCTTTAGGCTCAAATAGCTTGATTTTTTTTTTTTTTTTTTTACGGTGGAGCCTGATTGATTGATGAACTCCCCATAAAATGAAAAAAATATATTTCCATAGTTATAATCCAGCGTTTATTCATCTGCTGTCAAGTGTTAAATATATGTAAAAATAACTGTGTTTTCAGTTTCAAATGTCTGATGACTCATCCTGCACTCAGGGGCGTTAGCCTGTGTTAGTGCGTTCTGTCTTGTGATTGGTTCTATCCGATCTATCTTGTTTCAGTAGGAGCTACATCACATCATAGCAGTTAAATAAATACTCTCCGTTAGTTTCATTGGGACTTTAAACCAATCAGTGTCTTCCAATCCCTTTAAATGTCAGGCGCACCTGAATCCAGCTCTTAGCTTCTTACAAACAGGATTTCTTTTAGACTTGGGTTGGACACTATGCTCAATTAACTTTTCTCCTCATTGTGCCTAAGCGGAACAATATCTGAATCATGGACCCTTGAAAACCAGGACAATTATTTGCCTTTAACTTTGATCAGGTTTCTGATAGTCTGTTTCAATTCTTTTAAAATAGCAATGCACCAGCAATGATCCTGACCACACCTCCTTTTAAAAGCAGCATGCCTACGGAGGCACAGGTACAAGATGTTGCTGCTAATACAACATGGCTGTTGGCCCGGATATTGACAGTTTAAGTTATCAAGGATCGGCAACAACAGTCATGCTAAGATGTGATATAGGATACACTGTTTTTGAGAAAGGTTTACAGTATTTGTTCACTGGAAGACTGTTGTGTTTAATGTATTGTTATTTTGGGGAAATGTTCTCATGTTTTGTGTTTAAATGAGAGTAACAGTGTTTTTTTGTTTTTTTTAGTGATTCTTGTGGGAAAAAAACAAATTTTTTTTTTTGCCTTGTATGAGAAATGCTCTTCAGGTGTCTGGGAGTCTGTTAACTTTCTGAAAATCTCTAGCTCTAATATTTCAGAAAGCTCAATGGCTACATTTCATGGCACTGAGTTTATTTCAATGTATACAGAGCTGTTTACTGTTTCCATTTCCAGTGTTTGGATAAGTAATTACACAAACACACACACACACACACACACACACACACACACACACACATGCAGAGAGAAAGAGAGAGAGCCAGAGAGAGAGAGAGCCAGAGAGAGAGAGAGAGAGAGAGAGAGAGAGAGAGAGAGAGAGAGATTCCTTTCCCCCGCCTCCGGTTTCCTGTCAGAACCGTATGTGGGTGTGTGTGTGTGCGTGTGTGTGAGAAAGATAGAGAGAGAGGGGGGGAGAGAGAGAGAGAGAGAGAGAGAGAGAGTGGGTGTGTTGATGGTTCGGCGGCTTGACTCTCCAGCTGCTGAGCGGGTTGGAGCGCACCGACGAGGAAACAAACTGAACTCACTCCTCATCTGAACTGTCATTCACTCCACCTTGAACGTGAATGAGAGTGTTTTGGGCAGAGGACACGGAAACATGGCGGGACAGCGCTGTTTTTTATCTTTACATGGAGCTTTATCGATCTTTTTCTTCTCCGTGCTGCTGCGTCCCGGGACTGCCGGTAAGTTACGCATGTTGTAAACTTTACCAACACTCTGTGCGCTCCTTGCTGTGGAGTCACTACACACCTCGCTCCATGTCAGTCACAGTGTAATTAAACTAAACTTGGACTCTGTGACTGGAAGGATCCTGGGAAACCGAGTAACAGCACGTTACGCATGGCTCTCTCCGGAGAGCCGAGGACAGCCAGGCGCAACAGGTGACTCAGTCTGCGGTGAACACACACTGCTCAGCTGTGCTCGGAGTGTTTGGTCCTCTTACATTAGGTCACGGTGGCGCCTGGTTTGAAGCAGCACACTTGTTCGAACAGAGAGAGAGAGGACCTAAGAAAAAGGTCAACCTTATTGCAAAACGAGCTATAAGATCTGATAGAACTTTTATTTTGAATAACTGCAAAGTAATTTTCTAAAATACCAGTAACCTCCAGTGTAAAGTTTCTTACGGTGCCTTTAGTTGTTCTATACATTTCATATTAAAACCCCCAATTCCTAAAAAGGTTGGGTCACTGTGTAAAATATTGGTCTGAATAAAAAACAGAATGTCAAGATTTGCAGCGGATCAGGAGGACAGGGATCAGCCATCCTTGTTATCAGTGCACAGTTCAAAAAGCTGCATGGGGATGCATTAGTTCACATGACATCAGTAACCTGCACATTTATGAAGGCACCCTCAATACTGAACCATACATACAGGTTTGTGGAGCAACATACGCTGCCAAACAGTCAACTTCTTTTTCAGGGAAGGCCTTGCTTACTTCAGCAAGATGATGCCAAACCACATTCTGGACGTATTACAAACATCTTTGCTCTGGATAAAAGAGTCTGGTTGATAAACTGGTCGCCCTGCAGTCCCGACTTGTCACTAAAATCCTTTACTAAAAACAAGAGTGGGAACACATTATACTTTCCAAATGACAGAAAGTGCTGAGGACTCCTCAGTCCTCAAAACACGTTTTACAGAGAGCTATTCAAGAGAAAGGAATACAACAGAGTGGAAAATATCTTCATTTTTCAAAGAAATCTCTCAGTTTCAACATTTGATACGTTGTCTGTAGCCGTTTAAATATGCACTTCTGAAAATGTCTCGATCATTTCATAAGGGTTCAATATTTGCGCTATAATGACAATATTTGCTTTATTTCAATGCTACGTGTAGTTAAACTGAATCACACAATCAACAAAAGAGCGGAGAACAACATACTGACGGACAGAAAACATAATGCAGCTGTTTCATTACGTGCACTGAGATCGTAGTGGTCGCATGCTTACAGTCTATGCACCGTGCAGCAGTCACTCCCCCCTCCTACTGGCTTGAGGTGAATTCTCTGGAGAATATCCCACTGCTTTCTCACATCAGCTCAATCGGACTTGCTGTGGAATAAAAACTAAAGGTCTGTCAGGAGAAACTCCGGGTGAAGTTTGAGTTCACACACACAGCTCCTCCAGGAGTTTTTCAGGAGTTTTCTCAGGAGTGTGGAAGCCCTCTATGTGATGTTTTCAATCAAATATGGGGTTTCAATGTTTTGCAAATCATCACATCATGTTTTTATTTAGATTTAAAGCGTGTCCTAACTTTTTAGGAGTTGAGGTTCTTGATGAAACACAGTTGATTTACCTGCATTAAGGTAGCTTTAATTTGAATCTCACTTCACCTGTCTTCAGCAGTGCATGCCAGCCTGTTGTGCAAACAGTTGTACCGTGTTTTCTGTGGCTCAGTAAATGAAAACATAATCTTAATAACGTCATCCGCGGTTGGGTTTCTTCCTTCTAATCTTTCAAAACTCATCTTATTTAAACTGGACACACTATGTTCGACTAAAGGGTAACTATCTTGAGATTTGCAACAGTTGCAGTCATTCTCTATAAACTGGTTGCTTGTCTATAAACTTGTAACATTGCAGTAAAACCCCTTTCAGGTTGGAAAAGGCTTCATTTCTCTCACTTTTTCTGCTATCTGCTTGTAGAGTGAGTGAAGTAAACCAAAAGGAAGCATGTTGTAGGCGCTTTGTGCATCATGTTATACAGTTAAGGAAAAATGTAGTCTGACATATTTAAATCTCTAAAAAAAAAAAATGTAGTTTTGAGGATGTTTGGCTGCACATGTGAGTTTGTATCACAGAAGTGGGATCACAAAGTGTTCCGTTCACACTCACTCTCTAAACATGTTTGGTGGCACTTTCCCTCCTCCGCACTGTAATTTTAATGTGTTAACGGTTGCAATTTAACAGCCTTGGCAACTTTCCACCTGTCATACCGTATAACACCTCCCATACAGTACCAGTTAACCACAGGAACTTCCCCTACTTGTTGACAGGTGGGCTGTGTGAACAGTGTTAATTCTGTCTTAGCATCTTTGAACAGGCACGTCATACTCTGCCCTCAGTTGCCTTTCTTTCTCTGCGCTTCTGATTTTTCTTCTTGTCCCCCTCTCTATGCTGTTTGTTCTTGCTCCTCCCATGATGATACCTATTCTGAACCTGGAAATCCCACATAACACATGGACTGTGTGGTCCTTCTGCATTATGTGTGTGTCACAAATAGACATACAAATGAACACACACACACACACACACACACACACACTTCCTCACACATTGTGACCCACTGATACACAGCACACGCACACACACACGCTGCCTCTCATTCTGACATCTCCACATCACCTCGGCCTGGAGGAAGCTGCTCACTGTACTCTCCCAGTACCAGAGCAGCGTGACATTGTGGTTATACAAACACCAAACACCAGGCCTGGACTCTGTGTTGTCTTTATCTCTTCCTTCTTTGTTTGCTTTCGATTGATGTGGATAACCATCCGCTCGGCGGGCTGTCACAGGAAGGTTCCTTCTTCCTTCCTTTCCAGAGAATCTTCACATTTCCCAGCCCCTGTGCTGAGCCGAGATTGTGCCTGACACAAGATACTCTGAAGGTGCCAAAAAAAAAAAAAAAGGGAGAATAAATCAGGGTTGAAAGGGGGAACAGGAGACTGCTTTAAAGGGGAAATAGATAAATATTTGTCTTGGACACAGGGATTGTGTCGTTTTTTTGGGAATAATGTGTATTTCTTAAGACACATTTTGCACCCCTGAAGAGTTCCCCTCAGTGTAGTTAGTGTGTGTGGGCCTGTACAGTCCTGCAGTCCTGATACCTCCTGTGTTTACATTGACTTTCCTGGGCCTCAGTGTGCAGAAGAGGAGCGGAGAGAGGAGGTCATCCACTTTAACCCCTGAAGTGTCTTGCTTTGATTTTGACCATATTAGTCGACTTCCCCTCGCACTCTCTCTCCCCCCCACCCCTCTTGACTTGCTTCGCCGACTCTCTGGGGTCAGAAGGAAGAAGAAGGCGGAGGTAACAGAGAGAGGGAGAGAGCGAGGGAGGTAAAGATGGGAGGAATGAGAGGATTACAGCCAAGTTGGAGAGAGGGGGGGATTAGGAGGGAGCTGTATAGGTGGGAGGATAACTTTCAGGAGCAGGGGGGAGGGAGCTGAGCCGCCTGCTGGGGCAGTTATGTAGCTCTGCACGGCCTTATGCCAGTTGTCTTTCCTTGTTTCAGTGACAGGACCAGAGCCATCAGGTTCTTTTTTTCCTTTGAAATATTTCTGTTCTCTTTTTATTTGCTTCATTGCCTTTGAAATTGAGGGAGTTTTGATTTGGATGAACCTGCTTCACAGAGAGATTTAAACCGTCTCCCTTATATGTGGAAACCCCGGAAGCACAGTCCCCCCCCCCCCCCCCAGCTCAGGTGTGTGATCAATTCAAGTCTTGGCCTGAATATAAAATATACTGAGAGCTGGTGCTGGATATGTTAAGAGAAATCTCTAAATAAAGCAGAGCAAACTTTTAACACAAAAACTGAGGGGGGAATTCACTAATCGTTAAATGTGGCTGCGAGCTCCATGAATTTTCTCCCTCTCAAAGAGCAATTCACAAGACATTTGCACCAATGATATCCATGTAATGATCTGTGCCCATCCCAAAATGCGTGGCCACACAGAAAAACTCACAGAATCAAGGAGATCTTCAGGCAAACGAAAACTCACCCTGTTAGATCGATGCTAAAACATCACTCAGCCCAAAGAGACAAGCAGGCAGAATACACAGATGCAGAGTCAGAACTTGAGGTCAAACTGGAAGATGAGCGAGGTTTGAAGTACTGACTTGACTGCAAGTGATCAGCTGTGTGCCCAGCCCACTGAGGGGACCAGCAGGTAGGGAGGAGCAGGAGTGAGCGGACAGGAAATCCATTGAGATCCAAGAGAGAAGAATTGTGACAATCTAAGAGCAAACATGACACACTGAAGTTTTTTTTCACTTCTTTGCATGCTGGCTCTTGTTTTGCATCTGAAGGTGGAGTTGAGCCAGCATCATTTCCCCTCTCTGCTGCAGTGAGGTCTGCCGAGGAACAATTATATCCACATAGATGAGCTGCTCGGGGAGGGGACACTTCTTACCTGTTTATTGTAAAGTGAAGTCTCTATAGATTTGATATAGATTCATCCCAGTGAGAACAGCTCATCCAGTAAAGAAAAATGCAAAGAGGCTCTCATCACCGTCCTGTGTGAAATCCCAGAACGTTTCAACACATGGACAAAGTGTGTGCATGTATGTGTCCCGAACTGATTGAAACCTTAATATATGAATTAAAATAAATGTCAGAGTAATAGTTACAGACTTTAAATACAGATACTTAAAAAAAAAAAAATACAAAGAAGGAATTAATGTCCTGATTACTCGAAAGCTTTTTGGAAGACCTCTTACAAATACTGTGGTGCAGTTACCACCAACTCCCAGCAGGCATTAAACGTTCTCATGAACAGATATAAGCTCTGTATTTGTATTAAAAATAAGCAATTTTTTGCATTTGGATACGTTTGCTGTGCGTTTAACCCTTTGCGTATGCTTATTGAACTAGACAACGCCTTATTGGCTCTTTTTTTGTCCTCAGGTTAAACATGCATTAAAGCTGCACACTCCTCTTGTGAATCAGACTCTGAGTGTTTCATGCAACAAATAAAAAATCTCCAAACTATTTGATCTTTGGCAGAACATTTTACTGAACACTGATCACTCACTGTGAGAAGCTGATTGAGAAAATGTGTTTTTCCGGGACCTTTGAGTGACGCTGCCTTCCCTGGTGTGCAGATTTTTTCACTTTTTCCGTTCATATTGGAGCAGTATGGGGAAGTCTGTCCTCTATATGAGTGATTAACTGCAGTTAAGTTTCCTGTCTGTCCTCCCGCGCTCACATCCTCAGTGGAGGGAGGAGGGAGGAAGAGACTAAAGGGGAGGAAATAGAAAGAGGACATAACATTCATATTTGGTTGAGGTGCTCAGATGGAATTTTATTTATATTTATAATATATTTTCACTATATGATTATTATAACTTCTGTTAGATGAGGATCTATGAACCAAGAGTAAAAGTGGTTGCTTCATAGATGTGTGAAGATATATTTTTACGTCATTTCAGGAAACCACTTTCTTCCATAACAAGATCATCGGTGTCTATAAAGTTTATTCTCTAGTATTAATGCCACATGGGAGCAGGTCACAGTAGCATAATTTCCCTCCTTGCAGTAACAGGAGCACGAGGATATCTCACATTTCAATCCCAGCCCCTCCAGGAGCCGTGAAGAGCGGGTTAATGACAGTCCACACTTTCCTCCTCGGCCTTCCTGCGACACGCTCGGGTCACTTGTGTTTTATAATTCCTACACATGAAGCGGCAGCAGGAAGAAAAAAAAGTGAAGTAAGAAGAGAAAAGTGCTTAAGCAGCTGTAACCGTGACCCACATATCACCTTAAACCTTCCTGCACGGTGTATGCTTCTAGTATGTGCAGCAACACAATCTGCTAGAACTTCAAAGTAGAGGTTGTACAGCTGCAGCCTCTTACTATCGACGTGTGTTTCAACAGTGTTATTATCTGACCACATATCCAGAAAAATGTGTAATGAGGACTCTTAAGTGTAGTGTTTAAGTGCCTTGGTTACATAATAAATCCATCTTTATCTCTAAGGCGCAGCGTAAAGGTCGAAATGAAGACAACTAAGATGACAGCAGAGGCGATATATCAAACAACAGAAACAAAAGCAGCCTGTTCATCAGAGTGTATTTCCTTTAGCAGCCGATATCAGTTTTTTGTTTACGGTTTGTCTGGGTTTAATGAGTTATTGTTGCACCAGCAAAAACCAAAACCATCTGTTAATGAGATCTTGATTTGTAATCAGTGTTGCTGAATGGTTCAATAAAGTTTAATCAACACCATAAAAGACTTACGACACTCGCTGGTTACAGACTGTAACTTTACCCCCCTTACTCATACAGTCTCTGCAGCACTTCGCTGCACTAAATCAGCAGGTTTTATTTGTCTCGGAGGTTGTGAGTGGGTGTGAGCGCTCCGCTATTTCACGCTCTCGGCCCAGCCCCAAACTCCAGACTCTGTGTGACGGAATGCGTCTTGAAAGTATATCAACTGTGTTTCCCTATTAAATGAATAACCCGACCTTTGCAGACTGTGTGATCAGGGATCACACAAACACACACACACCCACCGATATAACACACACTGTTAAAGGAGAGCCAGCGAAGAGTAATGGGAATTCATGTGAGTCCTCCTCTGGTTGGGTTTCTTGGTTTAGCTGTGCAGACGTGCTGCCAGGTCAATAGATTGAACGATATCAGAGACTGCACTGCATGCAGTTGTTTTGTCTGTGTTTAAGATTTCAAACATGTGTAGTTGTTGTTGTTGTTGTCTCTTTCATCAAAGGGAAGTGGCTTTCTGTCTTGTCAGGCATTCCCTCTCTTTAGTCTGTTTCTTAAATCTACATCCAGCACTGTTCCTGCACCTCTGGCCCACATTTGATCGGAACTGTTTGCTCACACTCCATTTGCGTTTACTTGCGGAGAGAGAGAGAGAGAGAGAGAGAGAGAGAGAGAAAAGTGAGAAGGATCACTGGCATCATTTTAATACACGGGTCTCAATAGGGTTAAATAGCACCACTGTCACTGCCTGTGGCAATGAGTGTTGGTCTTTGCGGATGAGATGGTATTTGCAACGAGACTCGGGAGGGTGCAATCTTGCACAAATTGTTGTATATATATTTACAACTAGAGACAGAATTTGTATAGAGCTGGTGCAACAGGCCCCTGAATCGTTACCATGTAAGTACTAATGTGCTTCATGTTACAGAAGTAGTGGATTGAATTCAGTGCCTGGCTCAGTGAAGCTGATCCTGCACAGATGCTTTGCAACATGGAGGCTTGAATGTAGACCTCCCTGCAGAAAGAGGTGTTCCTCCCACTCTAAAACCACCATGCTGCACCACAACCCCTGCATACACTACACAGAGCAGCATCCCACTCAGTCTGAACTCAACACAAAGGTCACACGGGGAGGCCTTTCTTTCTTTCTTACTAGAATCAAAAAACATATATTTTAAAGGGAAATTGAGCCATGACACATGTTAAGCTGGCTATCATGGGTTTCTTTCCTATAGTCTTGTTTTTGAACTAGCAGTTTTTGCAGGTCTGAGCAGGTCATAGAGCAGAGGAAGATCAGAGCAGTTCGAGTCATGCTAATCTGAATGACAGGGATAAGATTGTACTGATTACAGTACCGGCCCAGGCAGAACGCGACTGTATCGCATGCATACCTTTTAACCAGCCAGGTGATGGAACAATTTAACCTTAAATATAGGGCTCAGGATCATGAATGAAGATATGACCAGTTTAACACACTACAGTAAACATAATTAGTTGGAAACAAAGTCTTGTGCCTTGTGTTTATAATAAGCTGTGTGGGTCGTGTCGGGCGGGAAAGAATTGTTTGTTCGATGGATTTGGCTTCACATTTTACACATAAATTACTTTCAGAAAACCCAGAGCATTCACCACAGATCAGAAACAATCCACATCCTGTCTTTCATGCTGTCATCAATTATAAGGACGTCATTCATTGCTTCATTCAGGAAATCTCTTTTGCATGGTGTTTTTTGATGGGATTTTAAAAAGACTCCATGAGGTTTGGAATTATTTATCTGAAGTGGTTTGTCCTGTATATTCTGCTGTGGCTGTCTGTGTTGATCGTTAAGTGTGGTCCTGGCCTACTTTTGTATGATTTGTTGGTTTCCTTTAGCTCCGTACAGCATGTTTGAGGTGGTTGATCTTGGTACATGTAGGGCAGCGGGGAGGAGGTGTCTCACTAAATTGTGGTTGTCTGTGTTGACAGTTCTCACCAGGTTCAATTCAGGTGACTGATGCTTTCCTATGTATCAGACTTACTGTGTGTTGGACAGTAGTTTACACAACTATTCCTTCAACCTTAATGACTGCACAGTGTATTTACCTTCTGCTCAAACAACTGGCAGCAGTGTTTCCTTAATTAGCCGGGCAGTGGATGATTGCTTGCAGTCCTGAAGTCCTGCACAAACTTTTCAAACTTGCATTGCACTAACTAGAAAGGTTTCAGTACCGAAACTTTGGCAATAAATGTATTTTTGTATGCCAGACAGCATGCAGGAGTTCGCTTGTGATTTTTCAAGTTCTTCAAATTGTGACTGTGGACACTCTTCTTTTTGACTCCTTAAATGAGGCGATTTTTATGTTGCCATTCTCTTGCGTTGCTTAAAAAGTAGATTTGATTAGTGGTGCTAGAAAGGGAAAATACATTCTTTCAAGTATGTGTACAGAAACTTTATGCAACCCCTGCACAAGTCAGTGCCCCACTTGGGCCACCCCAGTCAAAAACAAATCTGGGGACGTCCCTGATGATGAAGTTGTGAAACTGTTGCAAGCTTGTAGCTTAGGAACAAAAGTCATAGGGGTAGACTTCGAAAAAATGATGACTGCAAGGGTGAGATGTAGGTCAGTCGATCATGTGCTGTACTTTATGACGATTCCTATTTAAAGCTTATGTGAGGAGTTCTTAGCTGGTTATGAAACAGGCTGAGTTTAATAATTATGTTTTTTAATAACCACCACCTCTATGCAGGCCTCTCGTGCAAGCTTGAAAACTGAAACTAATTCGCTCCCTTAAATTGTGCAGTAATGCATAAGAAACCCTCATATTTAAACTGTTGAAAAAAGATTTAGTGTTTGCGTCTGTTGGAAAAAGGTTATTATAATAAAATAATTGGTTGGGTCTGCGCAGGCACACGCAAGATGTTCTACAGTACTACAACAAAAAATGCTTGTGTGGGTGCTGGGCATGTTATCTCTCTCTCTCTCTCTCTCTCTCTCTCTCTCTCTCTCTGTTTTCTGACTATATCCACTGTCTCATCTCTAAAATAAAGGCATAAAAAGGCCAAAAATAAAACTTCAAAAAAAAGAAATGCATGTGGATTTGGTTGTGCGGGTGATGTTATGACGATTTTAATCAGACCTTTTCATACTAGACGGAAGACTTCCTGTTTGTTTTTTTTTTTAGGTCAAAAACCCTCTTGGAACATTCTGAAACTACAGAAGAGGTTACGTTGCAGGAGACTGAGTTGGTGGAGGGATTTAGATCATAAACACCACAAACCACCGATGTTGTCAGCCAACTTTATGAGTGTTTGATATTCTCTTTAAACCAAAAGACCATCCCTCTCTTTCTGGTGGGCCATCTTACTGAAGCATGTCAAAGAAAAAAAGTCAGAAGAAAACATACTGATGGATCAAATTTAGAAATGTTTACTTAAATATTTGTCACATCATTTATCAATCCAAATCAACCTTTTCTTTTTTTTCTCTGAGCCACGGGATGAAGCGGACACTTTCACCATGACAATACTGTAGTAGCTGTCTGACACATGAGGCCTGGCCTGATGGATACTTCTGTGTGTGTGTGTGTGTGTGTGTTCTGCAGGTATGCCCCAGCTTTTCCCCATGAGTAAGCTGTGTAAGTTCTGTGACGTGGAGCTGTCCTCCTCCTGTAGTGGCACGGGGACCTGCTTCACCAACTGCTCCATCACATCCATCTGCGTGGAAGCCAGCGAGGTCTGTGTCGCTATCTGGTAAGGTGCCTGAGAGCCAAAACATTGCCTCCATGTATTCTTTTGAACACGACAGACAATAAGAAACAGTCTCATTGTGAAACGCCCTCCGCTCTGTTGTTCTGTTTGTCTCTTAGGAGAAAGAACGAGACAGACTTCTCCATCGAAACAATCTGTCACGACCCGGCCAAGTCGCTGCACGGCATTATGCTGGACGACTACAACAGCTCCACCTGCGTGATGAAGGAGAAGAACACGACGAGTGGGATGGCTCACATCTGCTCCTGTTCTGAGGAGGAGTGTAACGACAGGCTGTTATTCTCCCCCAGTGAGTGTATGTCAAGAACACTTTGTTGCCATCTTCATTTTTCATCCATCTAAAATTTTAAAAAGTAACCTTGTGCTTTGTTATGTTTTTTTCTAAGTTGTCCATTGTTTTTACTCTCTTTCATTTATCTCATTGTTACCCCTGAGTTGTCATCTCCTCCTCCGCTTTCTTCCGCCTTCTTCATCTCTAACTTTCTCTCCGACCGCAGACAAGGAAACTGTGTTTGTATTTTGGTAAATGAAACGCTCACAACACTGTGGGTGCTTTTTAGGTCTCATTACTGCTGCTGCTGTCCTGTGCGCAGTGCGTCATCATCACAAACAGGAAGTGGAAATGGGGTGTTTGTGTGACATGTAAACAATGCTGGGGGAATCCTCAGTGCGGTCACAGACTCTCAGCTGGGAGCGCGTCGTGTGTTTGGCTGCTGCTTCTCATGCTGCTAAGAACAGAAATTTGGTGTCTGTCTCAGCCTCTGAATGTCCGTGCGTGCGTTTGTGTGTGTGTGTGTGTGTGTGTGTATGTGCATACGTGTGTGGTTGTGTAGACCTGACATGCTAGAGAGCTCAGACATATGGTTTCCTGTCTGTGTTTAACTCAAATCAGAAACATCTCCTGCACATGGTGAGCAGGCCCCATCGACACAGAACACCTCTGTTGTGAGCGCCAGAGAGGTAGACTCAGTCTGCTTCAATAGGGGGAAAGTCATTTACAGTATTATCAAGACAGGGGAGATGTTTGTATCTTTTTTTTTTATCTGCTGTGCGTATAAACTAAAAACTTATGTGGGAGGCCAAAATGTTTAACCAGACAATCCTTTTTCAAGCCTCAGGTTGGAAAACATCCTCCTCGTTTTGAGGCCCTGCGCCCTGAATTCACTGAAAATGAACAGCTGCTCCCTTTTCCGAACGCGCACTTTAAACGCTCTCTTCACCAGACTTATTTGCATCTTACCACTTATAGACAAATTCCTACGGCTGGTCTGTGGTGTGCGGTGCAGGCCGCCATTACTGCGGTGGCATCTCCTCGTCTGCTGCTGCCTGCTGACTGGGAAAACAGCTTTCTGACATGGATTAAAAAGAAACCTCAGACAGCTGCTAATGAAGGAACCTTAACCAGACAACCTTAACAATATATAGATTTCACATATTAGACGTCTTTTACAACAACAATCTGATGACATAATGTAGAAATAAAGGAAAAACTCAACCGCCACATAGTCAATGCTGTGTAATATCACGTTATTCTACAAGCCAGTTAGCTAGAGTAGGAGCATAATGACATGCATTTCTATAGATATTCATTAAGCATGTTTTTTTTGTTTGCTGATGCAGCTCTTACCTGATTATGCTCACTAATAGACAAATGTTAAATGAGATCATTTCATTAATCGGTGACGGATGGTGATGGACATCCAAATAGTATCTACAGATCACTCAGAGAGGACAGATTGCTTATAATTATTATATTATTGTCTTAATCCAGCTCTGAAGAACTTCTTCATCCTCTGCATGGACAGTGAATGTATGTAAAGTGTCCGCTCTTATACGGTGTGTGTTTATGTTTTTGCTTGGTTGTTCGTTTGGTGCCTGTTTTGACGAATGTGAGCTTGTATGTTGTGATTTATTTTGAAATTCACCTGGACACCCTGGGTGTTTCCTTGTCTGATTTCCTGTCCGGCTTGATCTATCCTGTCCAGCCTCACGCATGCTTTTTTTTAAATTTAACCTTTATTTAACCAAGTAATTAACCCATTGAGATCAAGATCTCTTTCACAAGGGTGAAAAACATTACATATTTTAAACATTACATGATAAAGAGACAGTTTACAGACAACAAGTTAAGAGAAAACCTCAATCACAATGTGCAAATTGGTTTACAGATAGTGCAGAGTCGTGATCATGGATTACAATTCCGAAACACAGGCACTGTCCAATTGTCTCGCTTGCAGCTATAGCTCTGTCACAAAAAAGACCCGCAGCGTATTTTGAAACAGAGCAGAGCGTAGTGGCACTGCTGGCACTCGCCAGAGACGGGCTGTGGCGCTCGCTGTGGAAAAAAGGAGCATTGACTTGACTAGCAGTGGAAGACAATCTTGATAAGAGACAGCACAGGTGGCTGCTCTCTCTCATTGAAAGTCATTGTAGTTCGCTCATTGACCGTATCGCTCTCTCCCTCCATATCACTAATGGCAACTTGTAGCGAAGTAACGGTGTCAAAGAAAAACTTCCTTTAACAGTCGGGAACCTCGTGTTGAACAGCCGGCTGAGACTGTGTTGGGCTTGGAAAATGGGATAGAGGGAGATGCAGAAAGAAAGAGATAGAAAAATACATTATGTAAATAATACAGACATGCTCTCTGGCAAAAAAAAAAAAAGCTCTTCACACTGCTGCATCATGCTCCCTTTACCACGCTGAAATCCTTCATCGCCGGCCTGAAAATCTGCTGTTTTTCAGAGTTACAGACACCAAATGCTCCCTCTTTACAACACGCTTCATGTTCTTCAATTTTCGGTTCGTTTGTGTTGCAAACTGAGGACAACCTCAGGGGCATGCTTCAACCTCAAAACTACAATTATGTGGGCAGCAAGCTACAATTAAAAATGCCATGACCATGACTAGCAGTTATGGGCAGTGTCTTCCAGTCACTGGAAACAGATCACCAATACAGTAAGTTGGATTTCTGAGTTCTGTCTTATCTGCAGCACATGAGTCATCTCCACTGTTGTCAGTCTTTGCTTGTCCCTGCACTCTGATCTTAGTATTTTTTGGTTCCCTGTGTGATGGACTCTGTAAATGGTAAATGGACTTGAGCTTGTCTAGCGCTTTTCTAATCTTCGGAGCGCTTTTTTTACAACGCAGGTCACACCTATCCATTCATACCCGTTCACACGCTGATGGCAGAGGCCGCTTTGTAAAGTGTCCATCAGCATTAGCGTATCCCATTCATGCACATTCATACGTCACAGAGGAAGCAGTAGGAGTAACTTGAGGTTAAGTGTCTTGCCCGAGGACACATCGGACATGTGGCTGCAGCAAATGTCTGTAGATAACAGTATGAAGAAAAACTACCAAAGAATCATGGGAACTGTTAATTTAGCCTTTCATGCATTTGATCTGTTGAGGATGTGTATGACAGTTTTTTGTAAATAATAATCCTATCAGTTTATATTTCTGGTTTCAAAACACACACACACATACATACAGAGGACTGAGGGTAAGGGTTGTGGTTCCTTCCTCCCATTGAGGACGCATGCAGCAGGAAGTTCTTGTTATTGTTTATTGGACCACTGCCACGACTTATTCCTCCACAAATGCCTCACATTGTTTCTCCCCAGCGTTACATTCCTGCGACGTGCCTTGAATAGTGCTGGGGGGATTGGGTTTATTGCTTGAGAGTCACACTTGTTGATTGTCATGAGTGTGATGTGTTGTAAATGTCACCACGAGGGAGTGAACATTGTGATCCCACTGCTGCAGATGCTAACAGGGCTTTTTGGGATTTGATGGACGGCTCTCAGTGGAAGCACGTCAGAAGTGAGTCTGATGGGCAGATGTGTGCTGTGCTGTGCTGTCAGTGAGATCAGGGCTGTACTGGACTACTTTATGTCAGTGGAATTGTATTTGGCTGTTGGAATACAAAGCTTCAACTATTTGTTCCTTTTTTTTCTCCGTTTGTAGTGTCACAACAAAGTCCTTTATAAAGCTAAATGCTAAATGCTTATTATCTAAACTTCTATGCACATTTATCAGGTAACAGACATTAAAGGCTTTATATGCGATTTTTTTGATCCAGCAGATGTCGCCCTTGAGCAACAGCATGAAACTAAAACAACTCGCGCTGCATTGTTGTGTTAGCATGCTAATGCTAGCGATCTTTATTATGCTGGTATCTTCACACTGCATGTAAATTTACCTGAAATGAGCGTGATCTAGAAACACAGTTAAGCAGTGAGTACAGTATGTTATTCTTCTTTTCTCTAGTCCCTCAATTAAACAACTTTTATACGTGAGGGGAGGAGTCAGCCGCCTTCCCGGCGATGTAAACAAAGTGAAGATAGGACTCTGAAAACTCTGAAAACATCACAGACAGTGGGACTCGGGTGTTACACCCATTGTAGACAGTCATGACTCACAGAGTTATTTTCAGAGGATATACTTGATTTATATTATATTTAAGCGCATATAAAGCCTTTAAACATTTACAAACAGTTTATATTTATTTTTCATGTGAAATTCCATTTTGTTCTACTTGTATCATTAACCAGAATCATTCTAGTCAGATGGAGAGATGAAAAAAATGCAGCAGTTCAGCTGTGTATTAGGGCAGGCCAATTGTAAAAAAAAAATGCTTTATTTAGTGCTTTTTGACTGTTTGTTGTTACCCAGTCGTTGCTGTTTTTCAAGAGGATTGAGAACTATGCAGACAACTTGGTTCCTGGTAAAAAAAACAGACAATAACTTTGTGAAGGCTGTGCAGTATGTTGATATGCAGGGTTAAGTCCTGCCATCCTGGTTGTCATGTAAACAGAGCCCCTCCCCTCCTGTCAGACGGATGAACAACAACTTTGGAGAATGTCTGGGGCACCCAGTCCTTAAAATTTCAGGAGTCCATATGAGAAAACAGCTTTGGTCAGTTGCTCTGTTTTTGTTCTTTGGAAGACGTGGACTTTAGAGTGATTCAGCTTTCAGTTAAAAAACCTTGTGAATGATTAACACTGAATACCTGATCGCCAAATTCTTTGAGGTGAAGCTTGTGACCTGCTGGTTGCAATCAGAGAGTTTAAATAATGGATGAAGCCTGAGTGACGTCACCCATCTGTTACTGCAGAGGGCATTTGATTGCCAGTGACGGGGGTCTCTATACTGAAAATGATGTCCCACCATAACTTTCAGTCAACCTAATGACAGGCTGAGAGCTGAGGCGGGTTTTAAGCCTCCTGACACATATCGCTTATCAATTAGGTCAACTAAGTGTCTTATTGTGAAGAACGCTTTGACATTTTTGAAAGGGGTGTACCTTTGACTTACAATGTTTCTGAAGTTAGCCTCAAGAGGACACTCGACAAAC